TGCTCCAGCACGAACATGTGGTGGTTGAAGAACTGTTGCAGTTTCTCATTGGTGAAGTTGATACACAGCTGCTCAAAGCTATTGAACTGCCAAGTGTAAAAACACATGCAACATTTTCAAGGTTCAGCAATAATAGCAAAGTGTTTTCTTGTGCAATCCTACTTCAACGTAGGTGATACTTCAAATACAAGGCCTCTTCCTGTGTAGTTTTCCTATGCAATCTCTCCAGGATAGTATTTGCATTTAGAAAAGAAAGAAGGTTTCAAATTCAGTGTAATTAGGAGAGTAGTTTTCTACTATTATTATTATTATTTTTTTGCAGGATTTAAAGTGGTGATTCCAAAAGCCCTGTATATAAGTGTAGGATGATACTAACTTCTATTTTAAAAGTGTCTCAAAATTCCCTTTAGTCTCAATTGTCTTTCTATGAAAGTGTTAGGAAAACTGTGTTCCTTACGTCAAAGATCTCAAAGCCAGCAATGTCCAGGACACCAATGAAGTACTGTCTGGGTTGCTTGGTATCCAGCTGTTGGTTTATGCGAATAACCATCCACAAGAACATCTTCTCATAGACAGCTTTTGCCAAGGCACCAACTGCGTTGTTCACCTAAAGTCAAGAAGAAAGGTTTGGAGGTTACTAGCCACAGCAAAGGAGGATCAATGGGAACCATCAAAGCATGTTCCAGGTTATCACATTTTTCCTACCTGCTGCACAGTTTGACCCTTGGTCACATATTCATTCCCCACCTTGACTCGGGGGTAGCACAGTGCCTTGAGCAGGTCAGCTGAGTTAAGGCCCATCAGGTAGGCAGCCTTGTCAGCCACTAAACACCAGAAAAGAGAGAAAAATAAATACTGGACAATTCCTAAAATTTGGTCCTTGAGGGACTATCTCAAACGTAACAGCAGTATTCACTGTTACAGAGCTGCACAAAAATATCTGAATCTAAGCTATGAAGATAATTTCTCTGTTGTCTTCAGTATTCAGAGTCTACAACACTTCCGGGGCTTCAGTTTCTACAAATGTTCTTCAAAGAAAACTCATTGCTTTCATCCATTTAGGCATGACTATGGGAATTCACACTTTCTTTCTAGTCATGTAGCAAAAGGATTCATCACTCAGAGATCTAGAGGCATGGATGTACTTTCTGCTGTGATAGAGACTAATCAAATACACATCTCGCATCATAGTTCCCCCCATAGGACTGGGTGAATAGGACCACAGTCTCACATTCTGTCAGAGCTGAACCACTTCTCTACTCCACAATACAGCAGAGATTTCAAGGTGTATTCCAACTGAAGTATGACTAATGATGTAACAGGAATTGACACCCATGTCTCCTGGCTTCCTGGCAGTGTACACCAGTTCTCTTATTTATTAAGTAGTCACAGAGTAAAATTACAGGTATCATTAGATGAGATACATGTCTCAATTATCATCTAGCTATTGAACAAATATTTTTTTAGTTTACACTTTTGCATATTTAAAGCGTGAAATCTGCCTAAGTCCTTCTTTGGTGCCAAAGACAATCTCTTTTGGAAAGTTTGCTGAATCTGCTGATACCTTCTGTGCCATCAGGCTCTGCCTGCTCCTCTCTTTGTTTCTGCTTGAACTTCAAGTTCCCGTAGTGCATGACAGCCCCTGTCAGCTTGTAGATGGCAGTCTTTTCGTCGGCAGTGAAGCCCAGGATGTCAATGGCACTCTGGCAACAGAAACAGTAAAGGAAATGTGTATGTACCAGGGCTCCTATCTACCAGATGACCTGTTTGGTAAGTTACTTACATCTGTAGCCATCAGTTCCTCCTTGTCATCAATGCTTGGAACAGTGATTTCACCTTGACTCACAAAGTGGAAATCATAAGGGTTGGTGGTAATGAGGAGCATGTCTGAAAGCAATAAAAGGGGAAAACCAAGCCTACTTTAGCTTTCCAGATGACACAATGAGCTATTGCTCAGTGATCTTCCTTCAAAAAAGTTAGTGATCTTCCTACCAATTAGCTCTGGCTTCTTGTTAGAGGTGATCTGATAGAATATATGGTAGCTTCTTTCTGCCTTGAGCTGGAAAGTGACTCTGGACTTCTCCAGCAGATCTGGAAAGGACAGTAGGACAGAATTAGCACAAGAACTGAGGAAAGCTGTATAGAATGTGATCAGGCCAGGAGAGTCTCTTACAAGTTTCAATGTCAGCAGAAGCCAGTTTGCCTGTAGCTCCAAAGTGAATTCTGATGAATTTGCCCTGTTAAGGAGAAGCAGCAGAATTTCAGCCTAGATGCATTTCATTGCCATCTCCTTATGTGAGAATACCACTAGCCCATCACTACTTTTATAATAAGGAGTGATTTTTGTCTAAGCCACAACTTACAAAGCGTGAGGAGTTGTCGTTCCTCACGGTCTTGGCATTTCCAAAGGCCTCCAACAGTGGGTTGGCGCTGATGATTTGATCCTCGAGCGTTCCCTGCAAGATGATAATTATTCGGGTACAGTGTTTACTTGACTTGGCAATTACACGTTGAGCATTCACTCTGTTCTTCCTGACTCACCTGCATTTTGCCTGACTGCTGCTGCTCCTCCTTCTTTTTCTCCCCACTCGCTGCAATTGTTGCAAAGTACTGGATGACACGCTTTGTGTTCACAGTTTTCCCTGCACCAGATTCTCCGCTGTCAAACCAAAGACAGAAGCAGAGAGCCTGTGGTCAGGCAGAAGGTCCCCTGGCATGGGGCAGCCCAGCGGGGACCCGAGCAGGGAGTGTACGTACGTGATCAGGATCGACTGGTTCTCGCGATCTGTGAAAAGACAGGAAGAGTTTTCTTAGTGCTCCTCAATTGCAGAGAAATAAAAATCTATGAGATAAACTAACTGTGAACTGAAGCTTTGTTAAAGTGCAAGCAGACTAGATAGCCAATTCCACTTAAAATGCCCTGGAAACATGTCACTTAACCCCTTTCAAGATTTTTTTAAGTGCCCCCAATAAAAATATAAAGTCTTGTTTGGATATGGATGTAAGATAAAATATATTAGGTTTTTAAAAATATGATTCTCCTTTAATCAAGAGCAATATTTCTGTGTATAAGAAAGAAACAAAACCAAATATTACTTTGTAATGTCAGTATGATTAAAGTGACTAAAACAATGTAAAATGAATTGGCATTTTCTTGGGACTCAAGAGCCTTCTGAGATCAGACCATAGTCCCTCCTGAGTTCAAGGATTTTTTGAACCAGGCATAGTATCATTGTATGCAATGGTTTGGGTAGACTTTGCATGAATTCATCTCCTTACTTTAGGCACTGAAATAGACCTCTAGGACATATGATTTTCTTAATATAGAATATCCAGGACTCAAGTATCTTGTATGCAATTTGTCATTCCCTTTGCTTTTTTAAAAAATGTTTCAACTGACAATTGCTTTGATGCTTCCTAGCTGTTCAAATGTTAGACAGAAGGAAAGAATTAATTCTGATTCTGCTTTCTATACAACCCTTGATTTCTATACAATTCTTGATTTTACAAATTTCTGTCATATATCCCCTCAGTATTCTCTTCTCTTCTCTGTCATCTACTTAATTGTTATTCATACTGAATTTATTTCATGCCTATGAATATTGTTTTGTCTGTCGGTGAACATTTCCAGGTCCACTATCTCCTTTTTTAACATGAGAAAACTAGAACTGACTGCATTATTCAAGATGTCGATGTTCCACTTTTTAACTGAATATGATATCATGGAACTATTGCCCTTTTTAATCTCTCTTTTTTTTCCCCCCCAAGTAATTACTAAAGTTCATTTTGTTTTCTTCTGCCCTAATGAGCACTGAGCCAAAATTTCTGTATCATCATTCATTGTAAGTCTGAGATCTTTGAGATTTAATTCTTGAGAAGTAACAGCCATTTCTTAGCTAACCGTTCTGCCAATCTTCCATTTTCCATTGCATGTCCTGCCTTTTAGGCTCTCCCTCCTTCATCTGACAAACTCTTATCATTTGCAGTTCTAAGATGGTAAAAAAGCACTGATAGTGCACTTATTTGGATTTGGAACTTCAATTTACAGTGATTCTTTCTTACTTTCTGACATGGATATTATGTTAGTAATGTTTGATTCCATGCTTTTTGTTAAGATAGAGCACCAACACTTCTGTAGCACTGCTAATTCTGCTTTCCATCAGACTTTTTACTCCACAGTTACAAAACCTAATTTCTAGACTTCCTTCTACAGCATTCCCAGTGTGCTTTCTGTGCTATTTATCTCATTTAAAGATGGGCATTCTAGTTTACTCAGATGACATAAATGATGTAAACATGACTCCATATATTCAAAGATAATCTGCAAAGAAAAGGAAGATTTTTCCTGAATTGCATGCTGCAATATCATTTGAAGGGATATCAAGCAACTCACCATTTAACATGAACTGATAGGCATTGTCAGAGATGGAGAAGATGTGTGGAGGGGCCTCCTGGCGCTTCTTGCCTCGGTAGGCCAACACCACCTCCGGGTTGTACACCGGCAGCCACTTGTAGGGGTTGACAGTGACGCAGAAGAGACCCGAGTAGGTCTGCGAGGAAGGGAGACAGCACGTTGGCTTCCACTTAGCCTGGCAGAGCAGTTCCTCCTAGCTACCCAGAGGAAGACTGCTGCTGCTACTTACGTAGATCATCCAGGCTGCATAACGCTCTTTGAGGTTGTACAGCACAGCGGGTTCATGGAGGTGGGTCATCATGGCCATGTCCTCAATTTTATCGTACTTGGGAGGGTTCATGGAGAAGACCTGATCTTCCTTCACTGTCAGAGTCTGCCAAGGAAACAAAAGATCCATGTATGTCAGCTAAAAGCTTAGAGTGGGAATCAAATGGTGTCCTTCAGCCTTGTTTTTCACTCACCTCTCCACCTTCAGTCTTGACAGTGACCTTCCCTGATTCCCTGCTCTGGATTGTGCCTTTCACAAAGGATTCTTTAGGGTGGGCCACAAAGACGGATGTCTTGGCATCAAAAGGCTTGTTCTGGGCCTCGATTCTCTCCTTTTCTGACTTTCGGAGGTAAGGAGCTGCCTCTCCAAAGACGGCCATCTCAGAGTCGGAAGAGGCCATGTCTGCACTTTACTGAAAGTATGTCAGCAGAGGTGTCGAGTGGGGAAAAAAATGTTGTGGATCACTGAGAAGGAGAATATAATCTATAACAGTGAGAAAACTCCTTGGTTTTTTAGCTAATAAATTGCTAGCTAGTCTCCCACAAAATCTCTTAGAAGCAACCACTGAAACCCACTTTGATTTGAACTTGGAAGTACCCTACTCCCACTCAAAAGTGACACTTAAGTCTTCTGAAACACATAGGCCTTGTAATAGTAAATGGAACATCTTCTGAGTATTGACTGCAGTTTGGTAACTTCCCTTGATGAATTCTGACCAGATCTGAGATCTTCATATGAAAGAATCTACAGCCAGAGAAAATCACTCTCTGTTCTGGTCCTTAATTATGGGTGATGAATCTTCAAGAGAGTACTTTCTTGTAAAAAGTATTATCTTGTATGCTAAAAGTGAAAAATTACTTCACTTTTTAGATCTTTCCCTCTTTTCAACAGTCTAGCCTAAGGAAAAGTCAACAGAAATGTAAGAGGATTTACAAAGAGAACTCATGCAGCTGTACAAAACTCCTGTCTTAGACTGAAGTCTAGGAGTGCATTATTCAGGGTATTACCTTCGGAGAAAGGCTTGTATCCTGGAAACTGACCAACCCTGTAAAATAGGAATGGCAGTTGTTTCTTATTGCTGCACTGAATTCCAGAGACAAATTATAGATTGAAGTTACAGACATGCATCGAAATTATATTGAAAATTTTTGTTCACATGGGCACTCCCTCATGGAAATGGTTGCCAGAGGCAGGAGAAATGGAATGGGATATTGCAAGGACATTGTCCTCTTTCTTCAAGCTCACAGAATGCATGCACTTACCTTGAAGCCTTCTGTGGAGACAGGCCAGACTTGTCCCTGGGAGATTTTATAGCGTCTCGTCTGCAGATGCTGCAGATGGGCCCCCTTTCTTCGGTCAAAACATTTCTGGCAAACCTTCTTTGGCAAAGCATTGTCTGGCAGACTAAAGGCATAATTGTCATTTGATTTGAATGATATAATTAGAACATTTTAATATCTTACTGACTATGTGAATACATCTATAAATAATTTGTCAAGAGTGTTAAGGAGAGAATCTAGAGTACTCAAGGCACTTAGAGAACTTGGATGCAGGGACTTACAGCTCCTATTGCTGGCTTTCGCAGTGATTTGCTGCTTGACCCATGGTAGTTTGCCTGGTATGTTTATACCACAACTTTTCAGTCATGCAATGGGGATGATAACAGCTATGATGCTTTAGGAACAGATGCATTGAGAGGAACAGGAAAAGTATGTAAAAAATGAGCAAATAATTGTTGTTAAGAGACACTTTTCAGTGGTATTTTCTAAAAAGCAGAAAGTCAAAATGTATTACAGCTGAGGTTTCTGTATAGGGCACTCTCAATAGCTGAGAGGGTTTGAAATACAGTGAGCTGGAAGGCTGAACCCAAGTAATGGGAGACTCTACTTTGAAATCAGCTCTTGAATAGATTCCTGAGCTGACTTCTGAGGTATCAAATTAAAAGATATACTTGTGCATGCATAGGTAATATATGTTTTTGAGCACATTTCATTTAAGAAGTGATTCCCCAAGAAACTGCTTTCTCACTGTTCACTCTCTTACACTTTTTACTTGCATTTGACATAGGCTTGCTCCTATTATTGTCTGCATAGATAATCAGTTCCCACTGCCAAATCTGAAGTTCCAGAGTCTCCCATAGCCCCTCCCTACCTATAACTCCCCAAAACAACATGCCTTACCCTGCCATGCTTATATACACAATCACAGATATCACCTCAGCATATAATTCTAGATATGCATTCTGATAAATCCTCAGTCTAGCACTGTCATGCCATCAAAATATGCATATTTACACATTCACAGTCCCAGAAAACTCTAAAAACACAGTATTGCCTGTACCAGAGTATTAGAAGTAGCAGGCAGTCTTGTGTAGTACTGATGGTATGGGAAAAGGAGATTTGCTGGTAGTCAAGAGACCAAGTTTTAGGAAAGGGTGTAATCATTTAAACTTCTTCAGATCCTCCAGATCTAACCACATTCTTACCCTGGTCATTTGTATTTCAGTCACTAAAATATCTCAGTGAATAACACAGGGAAGAGGTTAGAAAAACTATGTTTGAGCTCCTGTGTAATATACAGCATCAGATGATGCCCTATGCTGTAAGAGCCCCTTCCACAAGGGCTCTGGCACTGCAGCGCCCACATTTTGGTCCCCAGACTGGAATCCAAACCCAGAGCTCACTCCTGAGCTCACTACCCAAGTTATAGGGACAGCTAAATATCTCAGAAGGCTAATGTTTTTACATGGATTAGGAAGAAGAGCTGCCTATTACCAGAGGACTAGTGTGGTAATTTTGAATTCTTGCCTAGTGCAATACAGTAATGTGGAGGGCATTTAATATCTGATTTGATCACATAACCTTCACAAAATAATTCTTCTTATAGAAATAGAGGCCTGCCAAATTTCCCTGCATGTTCAGTTGCCACTCACAGATCCTTGGAGAAAGGTGAGGCATTCAGTTATTGGGAACATATACTGACAATGGCCTTGTCTTCCTTTTTGATTGAACAGTAGACTCATACCAAACAGATTGCTCTCAAGAGAGGTGGAAATTGTGAAGCTGAATTTCTTCCAACTCTTGCCATGTCCAGCACTGAAGTCCTGTGTTAATATGTCTCAATGGTCATGCTGTTCAGGGAATTCATGTCCCTCAAGTTTCCTGCTTCAGGCCCTTCACCAAGTCTCTCCTCATTTCTTAACAGCTGTCCTCTCAGGACAGTAACACCAACTGCAATTAAGAGAGGACTACTGGACTGCTAGAGCAATGAATGTAACACCAATAGGAGACCACAACTACTCCATACAAAATGGACAAATGTTATTTTGGGTTGTAGTACCAAAACTATGTTTGTGGACACTGACAGTGGGTGTTTAATGAAACCACTAGTTTGGGTGTGAAGGAAAAGCAGTGTTGACTTACCTGGTTCGAATACAGCTGTGGACAGAGTTGAAAATAAAGCTGTTTAAGAATTGATCTATGGCAATACATGTAATATAACATCCTTGGAGGAGTTAAAATAGCCCCAAAAAGCCAATATGATTGTGTTCATAAAGCATATAGAAATAAGGAATCTAAGGGAAGCAGTTCAGATTTAGTAGACTGAAGACCACTTAATGATACCATAGTAGAGGTCCAGAGCAAAGGCATGCTAATTATCAGAAAAGAACTGATAAAAGGCAACAGTCACTTCATCACAGAAGCCAATCAGGTTGGTCAAGCATGATTACTTACCCTGGTAAACACATGTTGGCTGCTCTCGGTTATCTTCTTGTTTTTCACATCCTTATCAATAAATACCAAGAGGACATATTCTGTCATCTTTCAAATAACTAAAGTGAAACTGAGCATCTTACAGTTTCACTAATCCTTCTTCTTGCCTTTTTTAAAGGTGGGCATAACATTAGCCTTTTTCCAGTCATATGGGACCTTCCCTGTGTGTCATCATTTTTCACCAATGATAAACATAGGCCTTGTAATTACATGGGTGAACTCCTTCAGCATCCTTTGATGAGTCACACCCAGCCCCTTGGATATGAATACATCCAGCTTCACTAAGTAGTAGGTTAGGACTTCCCCACTGTTGGTTATTTCTTTCCTTCTCAAACTCCATTGGAAGGTGCTGATGCCTAGGGACAAACTTTGCCTATGAAGACTGATGCAGAAAAGTTGCTGCATACTTAGGTGCTTTCTGTATCATCTCTCACTAGGTGGTCTCCCACATTCAGCAGTAGACACATATTTTCTCTAAACTCCCTTGCGCATCTGCCATGCAGAACTGTTATGCTTAATGTCCCTAAGTGCCCAAGCAAAGTTTTATATTCCTATTTTGTTGCCAGTCCTTGCCTCCACCTCTTGTATACTTCTGTGGTTTAGTTCATCAAGAAGTTTGCTGCTTAGCGAAGATGAAATTCCCAGTCTTACTGCAGAACAAGGTAGTTTGTTCCTGAGGTCTCAATAATTGTCCTTTAAACTGTAACCACCTCTCCTGAACAGTCTTCTTCACAGCTGCTGCCAAGTGTGTTCTAACTAGCAGTTCCTGAATACAATGAATTCCGGTCTTACGAAGTCTAGAGTGCTAATTCTGTTGCTTACCTCTACAGTTTTCCACTAGATCCTTCAGTTAGTCATCAGGTGGTTACTGCAGCCTGAGCTGCCATCTGGGATCCTATTTATCAGTAGTTCATCCATGCTTCCTGTACTCAGCATCGCTGGTCCAGTACTTACATTAGGATATTGTCATTAGCACAATCTAAGAACTTTTGGCACTGTTTGCCCAGTGCTGTTGCCCTCCCAGCAGATGTCCATATGGCTGAAATCCTCCCTAAGGCAGAGGAGACTTCTGCCTTTCTACTAGGTGTAGAAATCTTTCTTCACTACTTTGTCTTGGTCAAGTGGGCTATAACAGATCCCATCACAACATCCCTCATTCTCCTCCCGTCTCTGATGGGATGTCTACAGTTTCACACTGGAGCTTTGCACAATCAAGGAGCACTTTAACATAAAGCATAAATCCTCCTCATCTTCCTTGTCTATTCTTCCTAAACAGTCCACACCCTCCCATGACCATGTTTCAGTAGTGGACACTATCACTCCTTATGTCCATTATTCTGCTGGTGTTCCCCTTCGCCCTTGCAAAATTTCTACATTTGCAGCTTTTCCTCTGTCACTTCTGGGCTTAAGTCCTCTTCCCATGATGAAGCTGATTTCACAAGTGTCATCAGTTTAGCAGTCTCATTGCAAAGACCTCTTTCCTTCTTAGTCCTCAAATACAGATGTCCAAAAATCTAAAGGAACTCAAAGATGAAGTTGCTAAGCTTCCAAACATGGTGTGGAAGATCCTACATAAAAATCTATTTGGGTACCACAGGACTGCCAGGTGACTAATGTAATCCCATGG